AAATTTATTTTTGTAATTTTTTTATATAAATTAATAATAAAAATATTTAATAAATACACTTTAAAAAAATCTTAATATAAAATTTTAATTTAATTCCAGCTCAGTATTGATGTAAGATACCATCTTATTGTCATATAAGCAATCGATCCCACCAAAAGCACCTTTTCGTTACAAATTGACAAGTGTCTAATGTAAGCTATACAAAAAATGGGGTTGATTTGTAACCATATAATAAGTTGAGGGCTTGATTTGTGTCTATTCTTAGTTAAGGGAGCTGATTTGCCACCATTCACTGGGTATAGGGGTTGATTTGCTTTTTTGCCTTTGTTTTTAAGATTTGAGCTGTATCAGCATCATTATAATATATCGGTTTCCACGTGAAATACCGGTCGATACATTGAAATTTGACTGAAAAAAACTGAAACTTGACCAAAACGAATTTCAAACCAATGCCATTGTGGCTTAATTGAAAATCTAGTAACGAAATTGATAACTTTAGTTAAGTTGTTCAGATTACAGAGTTTAAGAGTTTATAGACTCAATAACGAATCTGAGTTAGTTTAAGAGCTTAATATATGGTTTTGCATAATTTATGGTAGGACTTCTACCTAGCTATGGATGTATATGATACTGCCATCGTAGTATCCACAATAAAGAAAGAAGCCAACTCAACAATACAATAATGGAGAGAAAACTATTTGGTAAAATCCTCAATTTGGTCCTTAAACCATTGTATGGACCTCCAATTTGATCCCTAAACTAAAAAACTCCTTGATTTTGTTTTTAAACTATTGTACAGATCCTTGATTTGGTCCTTACTGTTTACCAATTTACTCTAAGTTGATCATTCCGCACAAAAAATAGTTGACGTGTCTCATTGTTAATGTGACACATGACCGTTAAGTTACTGTTTTTTACCGTTATATAACGAACATGTCAACTGTTTTTTGTACGGAAGAACCAACTTGAGGTTAAATTAGTAAACAATAGAGACCAAATCGAAGGTCCATACAATAGTTTAGGGATCAAACTATTCAAGTTATTCACAAGAGATTGTTTTTCTTAAATTTTGTCACAAATGGCAATTATTAAACAATAAAGATGTTTCTTTTGTATAAAAAAAAGTTTTTAATGTTAGACTACACAATTAAAATATGGCAAAAACCTTCTTAAGCCCTCAAACTAATCCCAAAATAGCATTTAAACCCCTAAACTAAAAATAAAGTGGATAAACCCTCTAACTCCACTAATGATACAAATAAACTCTTTTTCATTCATAGCTGTTCATGTTTTTAAGATGATACTAAACATGAAATATTGTTTGGCTTGTTTGTAAGAAGGGCTTATTTGCATTACTAGTGGAGTTGGAGGGCTATCTGTTTCATTTTTAGTTTAAAGGTTTAAATGTTATTTTAAGATAAGTTTAGGGGCTTAAAAAAGGTTTTTGCCTAAAAATATTGTTTAGACCTTAAATTTACTAAAATATTTTAATAAAACTATTTTCTTTTATTGTGCAATCTCAACTTAAATAACTTGGAAGTTATGTATACCCTTCGAAATGAATAAGAAGTAGCTATCACTCGTCAAGAATAAGGGAGAATGAAGCCAAGCCGACCAATCCGGATTGGTTTGCTATAGTAACCAATTTAACTGATTGGTTTGGCTTGGTTGGAAAACTAATAAAAGACTGAAATAAACCAAATTGACTAAATGTGCCAATAAGGATTTCAACTTTGTACTTTTTTTTTTTTATTTAAGGATGTTAACTTTGTTATTTTCTAAATAAGGATGTCAACTTTTAATTTTTTTTTTATTTAAAGATATCAACTTTCAACTTTTTCTATTTAAGGATGTCAACTTTTAACTTTTTCTATTTAAGGATTAATTGATTGTGATACTGTCGTCAGCTAACATATTTTTTTAGGTTAAATATCTGAATTGGTCCCTCAACTTTTATTTTTAATCCAATTCATCCTTAAACTTCAAAAAGTACCAAAAACATCATTCAACTTCAATTTTCAATTTCATCTTTCCTCAATTAAATGTTGATGTAGCTAATTTTTTCGCTAAGTGATTGACTATTTTACATTTTCAATATTAGGTGGAAAATCCATCACGTAAAAAATGATTATGTGGATTTTTTAATTTTAAATAATTTAAAAATTGCTTTAATTCTTAATTTTACTTTATTTATATTTAAAAATTAAAAGAATTAATATATTTTCCCATTTAATTAGTCCCACCTACCATTTAATAAAATTAAATAAAAGTTAATTAATTCTTCCATGAATTAAGAAATAATTTTATTAATT